TTTGTTGCCTGGAGGTGGAAAAGAGTGCAGGGGCAGCTGACTGTCACTGGCCGGGGCGTTGATGCACGCCCCGCCGACCAGACATTTGGTCGTTTCAAGCTACGCGTCATACATGAAACCCTTGATGTGATCATGTGTATCTGCTACAGAGGTAGCAACCAGACTGCGACTTGTGTGCAAGGCGGTCCATGTGCAATAAAGGAAGCATGCCCTTATGATACTGGTTCCAAGATCTGCACCGTTGTCTCAACAGAATCAAGCTCATGAACAAAGCGGTGAATGTATGTGAGTTACTCAGAAGTATTGTGCCGGGCTGTGATTGTCGCCGCTCGGAAATTAATCAGTATTCATGGGTTGGTGGTGGCTAAAGCCACCGTTGTGAAGGGGGGTCTTCTGTGCAGCTCTCGGTTTCAGCGAGCGGGCATGAGAGCGCCGCTGCGCCTACTCACAGGGCGCGCCACGGGGAGGCGGCTGCACGTCGCACCCCACGCACCTGGTTTTGTCGTCCACACACCTGTATGTGTTGCATTCTGGCGTGCTGCAGGCAGCAAGGTATGCAACCCAGGTAGGCCGGCCCCCAAGCGCCAGACACAAATTCAGCCACAACCCTCCGGCGCGTCTCGCAGCAAGATCTTCTGCGCCTATGCCTCCGGCACAGAGCGCAGGACCAAGCCACTACCCACTTGCCGCAAGCCGGTCGGACTGCGCATGGTGGAAGCACAGCCCGCCCCGGCTGGCGCGCAAGGGGCGCCGGCGCCCACCCCCTGACCGGGGAACCGCTCAGTGAAGACGCGGTCGATATGAACCAGGCCGAGCGCACCCGGACGCTGAAATCCACCGTGGACTGGTGAAGAGCACGCATGCACAGCAGGAAACGGCAGGTCAAGAAAGAAGGGCACAGAGAGAGCTTGCATTAGAGCGCCGCTGTGCTTTCTCACAGGGCACACCACTGGGGCGGCTGTGAGTCGCGCCCAACGCACCTGCTTGTGCTGTTTAGACACCTGCGCAGTATCACGGTGCAAGTACAGGCAAAAACACCCCTGCCCCAGCTCAGGCCCCACACGCAAAACACGCAACTCAGCCACAACCCCCGGCGCGTTTCGCAGCAGGATCTTCTGCGCCCCTGCCATCAGCTGAGTGCGCAGGGACCAAGCCGCTACCCACTTGCCGCAAGCGGGTCGGACTGCGCATGGTGAAAGCACAGCCCGCCCCGGGTTGCGCGCAAGGGGCGCCGGCGCCCACCCCCTAACCGGGGAACCGCTCAGTGAAGACGCGGTCGATATGAACCAGCGCCGAGCGCACCCGGACGCTGAGATTCACCGTGGACTGGTGAAGGGCATGCAGGCATGCACAACAGGCAGCGGCAGGACCACAGAGGAATGTACACAGGGAGCGAGAGCGGCCTCGAGAGGCAACGGTGGAGGGGCGGCGCTGTTGCCGATGTGGTTGCCGCATAGATGATGCTGGGCTTGTGCTACTTTGACATGAGGGGTCCTTGGACTCATCCCTTGAATCTGGATTGTGTGAGGAGGCGGTAGGAGTGGGGGCATCGCGCGATTGGGTAGGCCCTTCGGGGTCGCGTGCAGCAGTAGGAAGAGAGCAGCAGCAACAGCAGCGGCGCAGCACCGCGTCGCGCATCGGCACACGGTGCAGGCGTCATGGCCCTGTGGCAGATAGAGACTTACCATATAATTTCAAGGGTGGAGTCGCGGGCCCCAACATGAGCAACACGATACGTTGAATGAGGGCGAGATCGATGATTGACCGCAATGGACTGTGCATATGTATGCATGGACAATTATTTTTTAATGATAATAAGTAATAATTGGTAGCGATACTTATACCCTTCACTGCGGCTGAGGGAGGTGCGCAGCTTCGTGCTGCATTCCTTTGATACGGTAGGATGCACCGCAGCGCTGACACACGGCGGCGGTGGGCGCGCCCAGATCGCATGTGCAGCCCTCAATTTGCGTAGCCACATGGACATTAGTATTAAACATTGCATACAGACTACATACGATGCCACGCTTCGGCTGAAGCCTGTGGAAGGTAGAGGCAGGCATGTGATGGACTGCTGCCGGTGCACGCTCTCAGCCGCGGCCACATTTGACAGATGTCGCGCCGAAGGCTGATAACACAACAAGCAACTGCCACATGCATGCTGGTGACACGGGCGTGCGCGCCGGTGAACAGCGCGCAAATCGGCCAGGACCGGCGCCCAATCGCAAGGGGCAACAGCCTGGCGGGGGGCGTTCGTTCGGCGGAGAACAAACGGTTGCTGAACGCGACTTGAGCGCTGAATGTCACGGCAGCTCCCATGGACAGGCCGCTCTCGCCGACGGTGCAGCGCCCTGAACAGCCTGCAGACCTGCGCTGAGCTCTGCTGCCTCCTGCACTGCACTGCTGCAACAGCCCCGGCGATGAAGATTCGTCCAACCCCGGGGTAGGGCGGCTGCGCAACTCGCGTATTTATGCTGCCCTTCATGTTGAAATTCATCCATCTGCCCTGCCCTACGCTTGGCCATATGACACCTGCACTCCACCTCCTGAAAGGCGGCGGCCGCTGGCGGCGACCGCACAGGAAGCTGCCCCCCGGCGCGCGATCCAGGGCGTCCCCGTGCGAGCTGCCCAGTCTGCTGCCAGCATCAAGCCTGGGGGAGGCCGCAGCCCTCGCCCGAGGCCCCCGAGGAACCCGCGTGCCGCATCCGCAACACGTGAAAAGACATGCGGACTGGTCGCGCACTGTGCGACAGTCCTGTTGCGCGCAAAACTGGGCGCAGCGCCTTGCCCCTCGCACAGCGCGTTGGATGCATCAACCCCCGCAAGGGAGTGATGCAAAGAGGTGATGCACATTGCAATGCAAGCCGTGTCCGTCCTCAATTGTTTTTGATTGGTTTTGTATTAGCAACTTGAATAACCATCATATGGCACGTTTATGCACATGTTTTCGCCGCAATTTGGCTTGAGTATGGGCACTGTGAATGCAGATCTACAGTCATCCCATGGTCCTCATCACTCCACGTAGAACTGCGGCGTCAGTTGTTTGTGCAGCAAACCACTCCCCCCTGCTGGCATGGTGTCCTCCTATCCATTCACAGCACATGCGCGCCCGCAGCTTCGATTGCCTGCGAATCCCCGATGACACACCAGGCCTCAGGTGCCTCGGCCATGGTTACACTGTAACACCCCTATCGTGCGACACCCCACACGCAGGGTGGTGGGCTTGCAGCTCCGGTAAGTAACAGCGTCGGGGCAGCTAGTGCCCCACCGTCGCAACCCTTGTCATGAGATGTCCCAGCACGCATACGCCGTAGTCAGCGCGTCAGATGCCCAAGGGCCGAAAAGCCCAGCCAGAAGGGTTGGAGCGCGCCTGGTCGGTCCCCTCCCCGCTCTTGCACCCCCATCGTCAGGCGGTCGGCTGGCGCCGCCGCTGTGTCCCGAGGAAACAAAACTCAAGCAGGCGAGGGCAGCTGCTTTGCGCAGTGGGCATGCAGCAGCGCCTGTGCACGTGGAGGGTCGTCTAAAAAAGGAGGGTTGGCGGGGGCACACAAGAGGCCCCCGGTCGCTCCGACAAAAACAGATACAGAGGCCTTCACAGAGTGAAAAAGTATAGATGGGGCAGCGGTGGTGCCGCGATTGTAATGGGGCCCGATCGAACAGGCAGGTGCAGCGGCTGCGTGGCAGCGCTCCGGTGCTCGGCGCACCTAGCAGCTGCGGACGTCGAGGGGCGCCCCGCAACCGCGCGACCAACGGCGGCTGATGAGCGCAGTTGTGGGCCGTCAAACAGAGGTGGGTGACCCCGCATTGGGCGGGGCGCAATGCAAGCGCAGTGATAGAGCAGGGCAGAGGGCGCATGGCCGGGGACGGGGTGGGCAGGGCGGTCGAGGCTGAGCTGCCCTTCAACATTGTAAAACGCCACGCGATGAGGGCGGCGGCGGGGTGCGTGAGAGTGCTCACGCGTGGTCATCAGCCCCGTTGTGCATGAGTCAGCGTGTATGTGCACGGCTGGGCGAGCCTGGTCAGCACACATGGATGCAGCGCCCCCGTGAGGGAGCAGGCGCGGCAGCACACGGTTTGCCACCCGGCACTTCTAAGACAAAAGCCAGGCGCAAACGCGGGACCCTGCTGGCCCAGTCATTAAGGAGACGCCTGCATGGTGGGTGGATGCAAACGAGCCGCATGGCACAAAACGTGGTCAACCCGCGTGTGAAAATGGAGAGTATAGCAATCGCAGCTTTGGACAGAACGAAGTGGGACAGAGCTGGACGCGCAGCGGGGCGCAGCGCGCGCGCGCGCCAGAAAGCGAGGCAAGGGGGTCGGCGGAAGCCAGCACACGTTGTAGTCAGGACAGTCATCCTCACGCTGCGGTGCAAGCACACGAAGCAGGTTCCGTTGCGGCTTGCTGGCGGCGCCCGGCGCGGCGCAATCGCTCGGTCCGCTTCGCATACGTAAAAACGCCATCCTGCTGAGCCCGCTCGGTCGACCCCGCCGGGGCCGGCCGCTGGCGTGGGCCGTCAATCAGGGGGAGCGGGCTCTGGACGCAGGCGGTGCAAGCGGCGGCGCCGACGGCTGATGGCCGGGGGCGCGTGGCGCCGCTGCACAGAGCGAGCCCAAGTTTTCGAGGTGGATGAATCAGGAAGACCCCTTGGTCTGGGGCAGGCAAGGGCGGCCCAATGACCACGTGACAGATAGTCAAAGCTGAACAGGTCAGAAGAGGAACAAAGGGGCGTGCGGGTGCGCCGGCTGGGGATCCCTCATCTCAGTCATAAAATATATAATAATATAACGTGGCGGCAAGCGAGTTGCGGGCTTGCGGCAAGCAGAGCGTCGCAGACTCTGAGTCAGCGAACGAGCGCTTGCGGCCTGCTGGGCGATTGTGATGCAAGCACTCGGTCAAAAGGAGAGGAGGGCCGTCAAACACGGTCAACTCGGTCAAAGAGGGACCCATGGCGCCCTGCCGGGCCGGCGTACTTGGAGCCGGCCACCCGCCGCAGGGGCTCTCACGATTGCAATCCCTGGCCGCTGCCGCCGCCCTGGGTGGCGCCAGCATATGCGGCTTGCGGGCCGCCGGGCGGAGCAGGGGGTTCTGGCTGCCCCTGGGAGCCATGCAAGTCGAGGTCCTGCAAATGCATGATGTTTGAGGGTTGGCAGGCGGGGTTTGGAGTCAGCGACGCGGGTCAGCCCGAGGCCGCACGAGCAGTCCAGCTCAGCAGGAAAAATGAAGCTTGGGCAAGGGGTGCTGCAAAGACAGCATGCCGCCTAGCATCAGGGGTTTGCATCAGGGTTCGAGGGAAAGATGAGATTGCGGTGACCGCCGGCCCCTAGCGCCGTCCGGACCCAGGTGCTGCAAATGATGCTCTCGCCCCTGATACGTGCCGCCGCCGCGCAGCACCCCATGCTGCGTTTTGACGCCCAAGTGCAGGCCGGCGGCGGGACGCACCTGCAGGGCGGTCAGGCGCTCCATCCCCTCTGGCAACACCAGCGCGCCGCCAAAGCCGCGCACCACCAGCCGGCGCAGGCCCAGACACTGCAACAGCGCGCCGCCGCCACCCTCGTCGTCACCGTCCCCGCCGTCCCCGCCGCCGCCGCCGACGGCGCCGCCCAGCGCGGCAAAGTCCCGCGCCACCCGCGGCGACGCCGGCGACGCCGGCCGCAGCCGCAGGGCGGCCTCCAGGCTGGTCAACTCGGTCAACGCCGCGACCGCCGCCGGCAGCCGGTGCAGCGCGGGGCACCCGGTGACGCGGAGCTCCCGCAGCCCCGTCAGCGCGGCGAGGGCGGCCATGGGCTCGGCGCCGCCGCGCGCGGCGGCGGGGCAGGCGTCGAGGGCAAGGGAGGTGAGGGAGGTCAGGGCCGCTAGGCCCGGCAGCGTGGCAAGCGCGGGGGCGTTTGAGATGGCCAGGTCCTTTGGGGGATTCAGGGGGCGGTTGAAGACGTGTGTGTGTGTGTGTGTGTGTGTGTGTGTGTGTGTGTGTGTGTGTGTGTGGTGATTGGATGATCGGAGGTCGGCGGCGCGGGCTTTGGGGGGCGCGGCCGCGCCTTGGAGGCGCGCCGGAGTCCGCGCATAGACAGGTGCGCCGCATCCTACAGCAGGCCGCAACAACACTGTCCTGCATCATATATTCCCACCCAACCCCAATCTCCTCCCGGCCCCTACTCCCGCCTTCCTAGCATCCTTTCCCTCAACAAGAGCAACCCCTCAGAATTGATCTTGATCTTGTCACGCCGGAAGGCGCCACATGTCGCCAGCTCACCCTCAGGCCTGGGAACCCCCCCAGGCTCAGCGACTCCAGCCCGGGCATCTCCGCCACCACCAGCCTTCGCAGCCCGGGCAGCTGCGGCAGCTGCGCGGACAGCAGCCGCGCCGCGGGCGTGGCAAAGCCGGACAGCTCAAGCGACTCGAGGCGCGAAAAGCCGCGCGGGTCGGGCGCGGCGCGGCGCGGCCGCGCGGTGGCGACGTCGCGTATGGCTAGGTGCTGCAGGGCCGGCAGGGCTCCCGCCATGCGGCCGGCGTCATCCCAGTC